GGCCCCCTGCGGCCCCTGCCCCGGCTCTCTCCCCTGCCTGTGGCAGGGACGCTTTGGTGAGTCTGCAGCACACCCTCCCCCCTCCTCCTGCTGTGTGTTCGAACGGTCACGTGGCCCTGCCTTGGGGAATTTCTGTCTCACTGGAGGAAGTGAATGTCCCCTGGTTGTGGCTTTTTATTTCACCACTCTGAGCTGAAGTGAGGGAAAAGGAATCTCAGGGAAGCAGTGGCTACCTCTAGCCGGGCTGGGGGAGGGCTGACGCTACTGGACGGTAAATCCTCCTCATGTTGCCCCCTTCACCCCTCACTGCCCCGCCCCCCCTCTGTTTTCGTGCTTCTGAAGCTGTTTGCTCTTCCCCCCGCACCCAAAACCTTTTCAACATTTTTAATAGCAAATTGTAACAGGCTGGGCTGTCCTTACACTTTATGGGGCTTTACACAACTGAGGCCACCCCCCCTCTTTTATCCCCGCCTACGGCATCTGTCTAGGGCTCGAGGCTTCTTCTCCGTCCCCCTCCCCACCCCGGCATCGCTTCTGTCTGGCTCATGGGCTGCCGCAGAAGCACAGAGGCTGAGGGCTCCTCTCCGCCCCCAGCCTGGCCGCAGGGAGCTCTCCCTAGCGCTGGCTGCTGGTCAAAAGGAGAGTGCGTGTGTTGGGGAAGGGGGGGAGAAAATAGGGAGAAGGCAGCCCTGCTCCTGACAGCAGGAGAGAGCAGCAAGGGCAGGCAGAGAGGCATCAGGCAGGCTGCAGTCAAGGTGACAGAGCAGAAAAGCTGTAATGGGGCTCCTACACTAAGCTCCAGAGGTTCCAGGTTAAATCTGCTCTGTGGCAACCCGAAAAAGCCCACACCGCTGTGTATTTTGCGTATGCCCAGGAACAGTCCTGGTACCAGGAAAAAAAAAATAAGCCGGCTGCACTGACCTGTCTCCACAGCCGCTCCTGTGCAGTCAGCCTCAAGGGAGCTCTTGCCTTACACACACAGCAGCGCCAGACTAGAAGGAAACTCCCTGCCCCGAGAGCTGAGTAACCAGTGAGCTGTGGAGTCGGGGGTGAGTAACAGGACACAGACTGGAAAGCATGTAGGAACACCGCCCCCTCCCCCGGGTTCTCCGGGGTGTGGAGACACCGGGAGCAGAAGGGGACTGCGAAAGGGAGGCTGACCAGCCGGCCATGTGCTGGCTGAGACCAGCGGAGCTTTCGCAAGATCCTCTTGCCCAACACGCCCCCCAAAGCAGCCTCTTCCCATCAAATCGTCCTGCCACGAGGGCTGCGCTGCCTGGCTCTGTTAACGGGGAGTTGCTAGGGAAAAACTGACCCCCTCTTCTTTTTGTCCTGAGGCATCGGGTCCTGCCTCACTGCTGGGTGGGACTGCAGGTATGTCTGAGCAGTGGTACACAGGGAGTGGTTTGGCCCCACGGGAGCACTGTATTCGTGGATCCTGGGAGCGTGGGGAGAAGAGCCCCATGTGCAGCACACACCGCCACATTCCCAAAGAGAGGCAGTGATGTCACACTCATCTCTGTATCCCTTCCTCGTCACGCATTTGAGGAAGTGAATTGTAGCTCCCTTCCCCCAATACCCTAATCCACGTGTTAGTCTTTGAATTGCCACTGGACTCCTAGTTACTTTTCCTGCCTGTCGTCCTCGGCAGGATTTGCCCGGCCAAGCAGGGCTCCCAACAGTCAAGGTAGGACCTTGGAGAGTGTCTTGGAGTCCACCGAGTGGCCTCCAGGGCTCTGCCAGGTCTGGGAGCAGGACTCAAAGAGGGCATGAGGCGCTGTGTGGGTAATCGCAGAGGAGCAGTCGTGTTCGTCTGGATCTGCGAAAACAACGAGGAGTCCTGTAGCACCTGGAAGCCTCACAGAATGATTAGGGCAGGAGCTTCCGTGGGCAAAGACCCATTGGGTCACATGCTTTGGAGTGGAAATTAGAGAGGCAGGCAGAAAGCCCACAAAAGCTTATGTCCAAATCAATCTGTGAGTCTTTAAAGCAGGGAACTTTTTCGGGTCAGGGTCCACTGACCCATGGAAAAAAAAAATCAGTCGGGGGCCACACCTAAGTGAGAAAAAAAAAACTTTCACTGATGTGG